TAAACCAGTGCATCTGTGCAGATAGCTCCCTGTGTGCATATAAAAAAAGGGCAGAGGATAAATCAGTTCCAGACCAACTTGAACAAGGGACATCTCAAGACCTTGCCCAGTGTGTGTGTACATGTCTTACCTAAAAAATCTGTAAATGTTTATAGTAGGGATACCTGTTATTACTATATGCCTGTGCATTTTTTAAATCATGTACAATGATTCCTTTCTCTTTCCTAGATTTGTCTGTGCAGACTTTTGTTTTCTACCCTCTAGAGTGAAGCTGCCATATGTGGCTTTTAATATGTTGTCTAGATTAATTTTAAAGGGACTTAAAAGACAGTTCTCACTGAGAAGTAGCTTTCTTAAGAACATGCCTGATGTTGGCTTTGATACTGTTTGCTACAGTGATCCTATGGTAGAGATAATCATAGAGGGAAAAAATTGGTACCCCTGTCATTTAAGCTCGTATAGGTTAGTCTTAGTTAATTAGTAACTGAAATGAAGCTGTTACTGTTTATAGTAAGAGTAAGATCTGAAAACCACAAGCTGAAGTGCTAGAAAAACATAAAGACACAACACTTTCTATTCTAAGGAAAATATTTTCCTTGTGCTTAGTTGTTTCCTTGAAGTTAATGGCAAGTCCAATTGGAAACAATCATATTGACTGGTTTGGCACCAGACCGCTCTCAGATGTGCCTCTCCATGGGCAGGCTTGGGTTTTGCTTCATATGATAAAGAATGTTAGGCACGGGAGACGAATGTCACACTTCCTATTAAACAGCTTATGGAAGATTTAGTAGTTTAGCTTGTTTTGACCCCTATTTACACGACATTTATTTTTCCTTTTCTTTTTCCCTCCACCACTATAAATCAGCAGCTTCCCTGCACCCATCAACCTGCTGCGCAACCTCGCGTGCAGTGCCCTCCTTTCCAGTAAAGAGTCTAGACAGCAAATTCCCTGGTAACATATGCCATTTCGGATCGTTATGCCTTTTTGCTTTTTTTGTGAAGGCTTTTTAGAAACTGCATTACCTCACCCGTCGGCCTGGAGATTGAGCAGGCAGCGCCGCTGATAGGGCTGCAGCCTCCTGCGCTGAGCCAATGGAGAACTTCAGCTTCAAACTCTTAATGAGCAAAAGAGCAGCGGCTCATTTAGGGCTCGGTAGTTAATGTGGGGTGTTTTTTTTTAAGTGTTACTTCTGAAAGACAAGCCACTTAACAATTATGTGCCATATTGCTGACCAGTGAAGCTGAACAAATAGCTATTTACATTGACAGATCAGAGGAATGTGTAAGTGCATCGTGGTAACCTACATTTTCTGTGCCAAGAGATTTGCAGCTGACTGCCTGGGTGACTCACTCCTTGGATTAGGAGATGAGGTAATGCTTTTGAGATACGGGGTGATGTCATTCCTTTACCTGAGCTGCATGCCGATGCTAGTTACTAGTACTTTCAAGGAAAGTCCCTTTGCTGCTGCTGATGTACTAGAGAATGAGCTGCAAAGCTCGGAGAGGAGTTGTTATTATTTCTGTCCTCCTAAAGCCTCTGGCTAAACTGCTCTTTTAAAACATGTGAGCACAAGTGCCCACAAATGCCTTTTGTTACTCGTGTGCACCTGCAAGTGTGCACATTTGCATACCTGCCCCATTCTTCAGATAAAGCTATTTTACTAAAAGTGGACCTTTGTGGTAATTAGTTGCAGTCCCTTGTCAGCATCATGTCATGTAATCCCATTTACAGATAGATTCATCTTAAAAGAAGGTGATTTCCCCCTCTCTGCCTCTGTTGTGAAATACCAGGTGTGCTGGCATGTAACTGAAATGCCTAGCTTGCACTCACGGTCAGTTTAACCCCATCTGCTTGTACTCTGGCATTGTCCTTCAGAGCTCTTGCTGCTGCCTGTGCTCCCTTTCCTGATGTGATCACCAACACCAGTTGTGTCTTTTCTCAGCCTTTCTTTCCCAAGGTCACGCAGGACGTGCTGCTCCCATAGATGCCCTCAAGGTTGGGAGCACGGGCAGGTGGTCAGCAGAGCTGACCAAAATCCTCTCGTCTGTCCTCTGCAATATACAGATTCTGAGGTTTCAACAAATGAGCTGGCAGTGCCCTGCTGCTGGGGAATTTTTGAAGGCATACAAGCCATGACCTGATTTGACCCATATCTTGGGAGTACACAAGTGTATGTTTCTGAATGAGCTTTATGTGTGGTGGGAATTTGGATGTGTGGTTCCCAGCAATGGCCAGCATTTTGCCTGTTGTTTGTTGGTGGAATATTTCCAGCTCAAACCCTGGAGCAAGAGCTTCAGGACAAAGGAATTGCTTTAGGTGGCTTGTGTCACACTGTCCCCAGAGGTTGCAGTTACCCACTGAGAGTCTCCCTTGCTCAGCAGCAATTCCTGGGCAGTTTGCACCTCTGTCTCCTCTCATGACCTGATGGGAGGGTCCACAACCCTTGTAATATGCTGTGTTACAAAGCCATTGCAGTTGTGGCTTCCAGCAAGTGTACCTGAAAGTCTGAGCCTGCCAGTGGCTGGGGGGGGGGACTGGCACATGTCTGGTTTGGCCACCCTGTATGAATAGAGCCGACTGATGGCCAGTGGAATTTCTTCAGGATCTTATTGAAGTTAGTTGATGGCTGGGTTTGCTGTTCTCTGTGTGCTGAAACAGTGGTACAGGAGCTGCTTTGGTTTTTGTATGTTTGGAAAGCTGCTCATAAAAATAACTTTTTCTGTTAATTCTTATTTTTATATGCAGTATGTCATATTGCTGGAGGTCATGGTGGGCTGCAAACTACTTGCAGTTATATGGATCATGTGCAGGAAGAAAATGTAGGTAGGATTTATTAATGCAAAGTAATAGCTGCACAGGCTAAAAGTTGTCATAAAAGTTATTAGTTATTTCTGAAAGAATATATTGCAAAAACCTTCTAATATTTTACTCTTCTGCTTTGAATGCTTGAACAAATACTCCCACATGGTCACAGCTGCAACTTTGACACTTGACATCTTTTGTTTTTAAAAAGGTATTTTCCAAAATCTGCATGTTGTTTCTAAAGATCGCAAGGCTGCTCTTGAATATAAAACTTCATATAAACCTTATTTGTTCGCTTTATTTTTCCACTGATCAGGTGATTTCTACAAATAACCCCTCCCTACGCACATTTGTGCTTTTTTGTTGGTTTATTTCTGTAAGTGTGTGTATGGAAATGTGTGTATGTGTATTTTTCCTCCCAGGTGGTTGGCCATAATGCAACATTATTTGTGCATCAAAGATCTTCTGCCATGTCTCCTCCAGGATGTTTGGCCTTTTTTGCTGTAAGATAAATATCTGGGAGGGAAATAGCATACCTCATTTTGCTGTGTGAAGAACTTTGCAGCTACTCTCAGGAGTTTGTTTTTATCATCTCTTCAATTACACATTGTTTTCCTGAGGGGAGTTTTTATTTTGTCAGTCATCAGGAGGCTTTTCAAAGCCAGAAAGTATTGATGTTGGATCCTTTAGGAACCTTAAATACAGTCACCAGCTTTATTGCGTAGCTCACCTAAGTTTTGTCTTTGATGTGTGTTAGATAGTGTAAGAGAAGATACTAGGTCGTCGTGACATGCACATATTTACAAGCTCTGTCTTTCCTTCCCTGTTGAGGTGAATCCTAACTTTGCTTAATGTTGTTTGCTCATCTGTGACCCAGTTAGAGGAGTAGAAAGTGTCATATTTGAGGAAATTTTAATCACACAGAAGATACAGATCCCCACAGTGATTCCAGAAATAATAACCAGAAACTTTCTGGATCTTTTATATGGCTTCAAAATACACATCTGTGCCTTGAAGTCTGAGGAGGAATATTTGGTTTGAAATGACTAAATATACATGTACCAGAAGTAGTCTTTAAATCTTAATGTGCAAAGTCTCTGAATTTAGTGTAATTATGTTGTAGGATACTGCCCAAATGGACAGAGGTTCTGAAAAAACATTAAAATCTTCCATGTTAATCCATATCCTCAAAAGCTAAGATTACATGGATTACAGTTTCTCACTGTTATTGATGGGCACAGCCACTGTGGCTCCACAGTATTAGTTATGGTCTATCATGCTCATAATGAGTTTCTTAATAAGTCCCTTAGTACTCATTGACAGTGACTCATGCTTCCGAACTAGGATCTCCTTGGGAATCTCAGAGTAATGGATGAAATGCTGTATCCTGGTGAAGATTTCTTATTTTTCTTATTTGTGTGTTTAAAGAAAATAACTGTTCAGTAAATAACAGAAAAGAAAGTTTTAAGGAATGATATATTTAGTCATAAGAAATTCTGAGGAGGTGAAGTTAAATCTAACTGTCAGGGAAGACAAAAGTGAAACATGAGCTCTGATCTCAATGGTAATTGCTTTCTGCTTTACAGGAGGATGGATATTCCAGAGTACTCATTAGTTGTAAAGGAGTTCACATACAGCCTCAGCTTTTCTTTGAATACCAAATTCAGTCTCCTGATCTAGAGAGAATGATTGTTTCTGTGTTTAGCAGTAAACTAGTTCTGGGGAAAAAAAACAAAACCAGAACAGAAATGAAATAGAACTTTACCTGCAATGCTGCTGTTTCAAAAGTACCACAAATCTACAAACCTTTCTTTTTTACCAGTGACTGTCTCTTCAAGAGTGCTTCTCCCTGTGTCCTCTTCTCTACAGGTTGGATAAAAACTGATCTGTCAACTGGTTGAGCTTTAAAACATTTTGCTTAATGATGTGGAAGAAGTGTCACACACTGAACTATTTTTTAGCTGAACTAAGAACTATTTTGAGAGTAGTGATACACAGATCTGATTTGAGTGCCTGAAAGTTTTCTGCCTTCAGTATAACTTTGAAAAATAAAATTCTGGGATATGAAACCATAAAACAGGATGCTGGAATAAAATGCACTGTACTTATACAGTGTTTCTGTTTCCATTTGTGATCCCTGTGTGTTTTGACGAAGTTGTTGTTGAATGGTAGCTAACCTTCAGTTCAATTATTTTAGGTATTTGGAAATAAGATGATAATCCCTTCCTTGGATGGGGACCTTTTCCAGTGGGATCGGGATCGAGAGAGCATGGAAGCAGTTCCTTTCACAGTTGAATCTCTTCTTGAGTCATCCTACAAATTTGGTGAGGATGTTGTTTTAGTTGGAGGAAAGTCTTTGACCACCTATGGGCTGAGCTCATACTCAGGGAAGGTAAGAGCCTGGAAAGCTGCTTTTGGATGTGTTTCAAGCACCGTGTTGCAGATAGGTTGCTCTTGAGATGTAAAGTGCAGTACAGCTCAAGTGTGCAACTGAAAATACAAAAGAACAGAATCTGATCTTCTTGGGCAGCAAATGCAGGGGCTGGAGCAAGGGGGAAAGGGATGACCCCTTTCTACCAAGCTGGGAGAGAAGTTCAGTAGACTTTGCTGTTCAGCTTACTGCTTATCAAAGAAGGCTTCAGTTTACACACTTCTGTACAACTGTTTTCAGATTTTTCACAACTAATAAGAGATTAACTGGTTGAAAACAAGAAAAGCATTCAATATATATGCAAAAGTAAAAAAAAAAAAGAATGTGTGTGTTTATATATATGTTCAATATATGCAAAAATCTAAGACTTGTATGTGCTGTCAATGAGTTTCCTATCTCTTAGAAGTTCTTACATTTTAAAGTCCTGTGCAATAGTTAAGTTGGAAACTACTTGCTATCTGACTAGTTGAGAGGTATTTTTGTCTGAAATCCATTGGTTAAAATTATTATGTTTTGAAAAAAAACAACCAGAAGAGAGAACACAAAGTTACTGAAATAATTTTGATTTCCTCATTGATAGCAGAGGGAATTGTGCACCAACAGACTGCTCTGCCACCAGTTCTCAGGAAATGAAAATTTTCGTTTCTGCTTCAATTCCAGGCTTATGCTTCCAGTAGCAAATGTGCCCCATATAGGAGATAGTGCTTAACTCTTCCTTGTTAAGAGTTCACAGTCTGTTGTCTTTGGCAGCATGATGTCAATTCAGACTTCCTGAAAGTGTGTTCAACTCCCTTTTCAAAATCCAGTTGCCCATATAATTAAAATTCTGTTTGAGATTGGGACTGTTGCAAAGTCTGTGTGAGAGTTGACTAGAGTGGTCTTTCCCCTTTAATAGCAGAAATAGGGAGAAGGCTCTGTGCTACTTTAAATAAATCAGCAATTCTTCACTTGAAGCTAATAGAGTTATGCTGAGACAAATACAGCAGGAAAGCAGAATTACTCTGTGAGTCTTGTAGGAATGTTCCTTCAGTTCCCCTAGAAATAGTGGGAAAAGGGAAAATGAAGACATCTTTCTGTTAGAAGCAGAAATAAGTGCAAAATCTACTCAAAAGGTAGTCAAAATAGCCCAAACTGTAGACTTAATAGTATCTGTTGAAAATTCTACTTCTGAACAGCCCTTCTTTTAAAACGGGCTTTTCAACACACCTCTCAGGTTGAGCATCTAAAAACCCCAGAGCTCCAAGTTGCCTGCGAGCCAAAAATGTCTTGTAAGGATTGTTAGCTTTGAATGTTGCTGTCAATTACATTTGTGTGCCTTGGAAGTTCTTCAGAAATTGAAAGCAGGTGTGAGTCCCTTGCCCTTGTCCCTTAGGTGAAGTACATCTGCTCAGCCATGGGCTGTCGCCAGTGGGATGACGATGAAACGGAACAGGAAGAGACGCTTCTACTGCAGCGAACCCAGAAAACTGTCCGTGCTGTAGGACCACGCAGTGGCAATGAAAAGTAAGTGTCAGGATTGTGCAGAAGGAAGTCAACAGAGAGAAGTTCTTAATACATAATGTTTTAAAGATTTGACCTTTTTACTTGCATTGGACTTGGAATTGCACAGGGGAGTTTAGATCGTTAACCGAAGGAATGCACTGGACTCTTGGCTATGATCTAACCCCTTTGCTCTTCAGTGCATTTGAAAAAGGACTTGAACTTCCGTTTTATGGATGATTAGACAGAAAATATATGTACACGTGTTTATTCCCTCTAAATCAAATGAAAATTACTTTCCTCATCCCTGCATACCTCCAGTTTTTCGCTGCTCTACTGCACATGGCAATGTCACCAATGTTTATTTCAACTGTTGATTTTGTATAAAAGGAGACAGTTAAAAAGTTGTCTTATGACCTACTGATGGTAACTCACTTTTTTAATACTTGATGTCTTTAGCATTCAAGTTGATACTTTAAAATGTCTCCAGTCTTAATTTTTTTCATAAAAAATTCATAAATCTACTTTCTTCCTTTCGTAACGTAGGTGACTTGTTCTTCACAAGCTGTAGAAACTGATTGAGTCTGTGATTTTCCTAATGCTGTCATGTTGAAGTTTTAATATCTGAAGGTTTGTCTAAAATACAGACATGTATTATTCTAAAAAAAACCCTGAAAACCACTTCATTAAATGTACTTTTAAGAGGCTGGTAGCCATACGTAGATATAATAACTGCCCACCAGTTCACTGGAGAACGAGTCATTCATTCCCTGTTCCCCTGCTCCCTCTTCTGTTTGCAGCGGGATTTGACAGATTATGCATCTGTATCGTAACAGAACCTAATTAGAACTCCAATAGATTAGCAGATCAGGTGTCTGAAAGAGAAGTCTTAGGTTCTGTGGTTTTTTGAAGATTCTTACTGGCAGGGACAGGTATCTCATAAAACTGTGCTTTTGCTTTTGTACATCTCTCTCAAAAGCACAGTATGACCTCTTACACACCAGAATCCTTCTTTCTTTGTCATCAGAAACAAAGATGCTTTCCTGGCGACATGGGTGGCTGCTATGGAATTTACAGGATAGATCTGGGATTTTAATCCACAGAAAAGAAAACAACTTTTAATAAATCAACTGAATAAATAAAACATGCCAAACTTTTACCATAAAGATCTAAATTTTTTCGGGAGACAGTTTGGGTTCCTGGTGGTTGCCAGGCTGGTCCTAAGGAACTTTGGGTACCAACCTACTGCTCAAGAAATGTGTTAGATTACAAAAAGTAAGATAAACTAAGCCTTTAATGCCACTGGCCCTGCTTCACCAACTGTGTTCTCAACTGGCTCATCATGTTGGACAAAATATCTAAGGTTTTTTAGTTTGTCTGCTGGATTGGCACTCCCCCTTCTGGTATGGTTGTGTTCACTTAACAGTCTGAGAGTTTACTGTGAAAATATGGGCCAAACATGGAGGATCTGGGACTTCATTGGAATATAGACATTTTTTCTACCAAGTTTTTATCTTTTTCTCAAAGGTGGAATTTCAGTGTTGGTCACTTTGAGCTGCGCTACGTCCCAGATATTGAAACCAGAGCGGGATATATTGAGAGCAATTTTAAACCAAATATGAACAAAGAAGAAACAAAAATTATTTCAGATGTGGATGAGCAGGAAGCTATGATGAAAGATACAGTGATAAAGGTCTCAGTAGCTGACTGGAAGGTGATGGCTTTTAACAGGAGAGGAGGACATCTGGAGTGGGAATACCAGGTAGGGGGAAAAGAATATTAAATGTTACAAAGGCAGAAGTTTTGCAGCATCATAGATCATGTCTTTCCTCTTGGGTTTCGGGTGCTATCTTTGTAAAGAAGCCCACGTCTGCTTGTAATGTTTTAATTGAAGTTCTGACTTTAAACTGCTGCATCTGTTACAAAAACTAAAACAAGGAAAATAAGCATATTTTTAGCCTGATTCTTAAATAGTATCTCGTTAATACAACATTAATTTTCTAGTTCTCTCTCTCTCTCCTCCAGTTTTGCACTCCAATTGCTTCTGCATGGCTGCTTAAGGATGGCAAAGTTATTCCAATTAGTCTGTTTGATGACACAAGTTATACTGCTAATAATGAAGTATTGGAAGATGAAGAAGATCTTGTGGAAGCTGCCAGAGGGGCCACAGAATCCAGTGTCTATTTGGGTGAGATACCCACTGGAGCATTCGCTGTAGTAAATGTTACTCTTTTCTCTGAGATCATAGGAAAACAGATCTTTCTGTACCTGTAGATTACACCTAAGAGGAGCTGCAACGTATGTGGTCTGATATTCTGCATAACGAAGGCTGTGAAATTTAGCCTACGTTGTTTTATAAAGCCCCAAAATTGAGACTTCACTAACAAGTATATCCCAGAAAGGCACCTTGACTTGATGTAAAGACTTGCAAAAGGCAGAGACATGTGTTCTCATCTCTTCCTAGCCTGCTCTGGTCACCTTTGCAGTTGTCATTCAAATTCAGTTCTGTGTACTCACCTTAGAGATTCTGGTAGTTAAAGAAGGGACAGTGTCCTTTGACTGTGACAGAATTAATATCTACGATTGTTCAGCCGAAACAGCGATAGGTAAAAGACTTCTTTTTTTTTCCTTTTCCAAAACCTAGACATTTCAAACCCATAAATCTTTCCCATTTTGATTCTGAAATGTCCACTGCTTTGTAGTTTCAGTATCTTGGAGATGCTTGAAAGTTTTGAAGCTTTTTAAAGACAGGTTTATAGTAAGAAGAAGTCTTGCTCAGTAGGCAATGAGCCATACCTCCCTCCAGCCTGCTAATTTATCACATTCATTTTTTTCCTCTACACTGATTACAATAACTGACCATGAAGAAATTTCAATTCAGATTATACATTACAAAGTTGTTGTTTGGGCTTTTTGCCAGCTGTCAGAATGAATTCGTTGTGCTTTGTGACAATTTGAAATAGAGTTGCCCCAGGTCCTTCTTCCTCTCAGCTGTTTTTTCTCTGGGAGGTGAACGCGCTTTGGTTTTCTAAGACTATTTGCCTTAGCCACTTTCTCTGAAGTCTTTACACCTTGTAGCTTTCCTGTTAGGGATTACACAAATGAAGAATAACACTACCAAAAAGCCAGTTTCTTCCAGCCTTCCTGGTGATTGCTGTTGAGGAATAATCTACACCAGCATTGAGTAGGCAATGTGAAAGAAGTCCTACCTATACACAGCCCAAGCTACTTGATAGTTCTTAAAAACTGTTGGCAGTTCTGTGTAGCCTCAGCCCCTCAACAGTGAAAATATGTCCTGGTCTCTTGCTTTTCTAGAAGAGAGGGAACATACTACTCAAATTTATCCAGCCTAGCAATCAGAATCAATATGTCAATTTCTTAAAATGTAAAGAACTATTTTCAAAAACATTTTTAACCACAAATCTTTACCTGAACAGTTTTATGCTGGGTGTGAAGAGAACTAAATCTTAAGACTAATAGTTCTCTGGTTTATTTCTTAGGTATGTACAGAGGCCAGTTGTATCTTCAGTCATCAGTCAGAATTTCTGAGAAATTCCCGACCAATCCAAAGGCTCTGGAATCCAGGAAAGATAATGCAATTATTCCTCTTCCCAAAATCAAATGGAAGCCTTTAATCCGTAAGTAAGAGTTCAGAGTTTCATTTACTGTCTTAACTCTGAGAAGGCAGGTAATCTTTCTCACTTCCAGTATTTCCAACTTGTTTAATGTTTCTAGCCATAACCCAGTTGAGAAATTTTGCTTTATTAATGGTTTAATTTTTTTTTCTAATAAATATAAAAAATATTTTAAAAATATTTTTTCTAATTAAATGTTTTATGTCTGCTTGCTTTTACTATGGGTTTGACATTCATTATTTTTCAATAATGAAATGCTGGGTCTTCTAAATAAAATTTGTCAACAAAAAGAGGAAGAAGCTTTTCTGCAATGATAGGGAACATACGACTCAAATTTATCCAGCCTAGCAATCAGAATCAATATGTCAATTTCTTAAAATGTAAAGAACTATTTTCAAAAACATTTTTAACCACAAATCTTTACCTGTACTGAACAGTTTTATACTGGGTGTGAAGAGAACTAAATCTTAAGACTAATAGTTCTCTGGTTTATTTCTTAGGTATGTACAGAGGCCAGTTGTATCTTCAGTCATCAGTCAGAATTTCTGAGAAATTCCCGACCAATCCAAAGGCTCTGGAATCCAGGAAAGATAATGCAATTATTCCTCTTCCCAAAATCAAATGGAAGCCTTTAATCCGTAAGTAAGAGTTCAGAGTTTCATTTACTGTCTTAACTCTGAGAAGGCAGGTGATCTTTCTCACTTCCAGTATTTCCAACTTGTTTAATGTTTCTAGCCATAACCCAGTTGAGAAATTTTGCTTTATTAATGGTTTAATTTTTTTTTCTAATAAATATAAAAAATATTTTAAAAATATTTTTTCTAATTAAATGTTTTATGTCTGCTTGCTTTTACTATGGGTTTGACATTCATTATTTTTCAATAATGAAATGCTGGGTCTTCTAAATAAAATTTGTCAACAAAAAGAGGAAGAAGCTTTTCTGCAATGATGTGATTCTATGTGAATTGACTTGTCCAGAAAGAATATTTTGGCAAGGAGGAGTTGTGTTAAGTAACTCTTACTTTACAATACCCTTCTTAATGTTTCCTTGCTTTAATTTTGGTTTTCATAGTTTGGTCCAAGAGACATTTTTTAAGATTATGCAATTGGAGTTCTTACTAAATTAATAGAACATAATTTTTTTATATAACAGTTCAGCTCAAAAAATTCTTTTCTGTGCTTAGATTCTCCTTCCAGGACACCAGTGCTGGTGGGGTCTGATGAGTTTGACAAGTGTCTCAGCAATGACAAGTATTCTCATGAAGAGTACAGTAATGGAGCACTCTCAGTTCTACAGTATCCTTATGGTAGGTGGAGATTTCAAATTCTGAAACGTTTCAGATAGCCAGGTTTACCCATTTGTTGCCTGTGAAGTTCAGGAAATGGCCATTTGTTTGATCTTAAATATGGGTATTTCTTTAATGTTTAATGAACGAGGAATTTATTGCCCAAATTAAGATGTCCAAATTGGGGTGGATGTTTAATTAGTGCCATACTAAGCGCTTGGGTGTGCCAGAAACTATTAGTGCAGAGATGTTGTGTTTACTGCCATTGCCAGTGATACTTGTTCTGAGTGGAAAAGCTAGAGCCTCATCCTGGTGGTGTAAAGTTTTCCTCTGGAAGATGCTCTGGTTTATAGCTGTCAGTGGTCAGGCCTTCTGATGTGGTAAACTTTGATAGGAGACCTAGTGGCTGTGGAGTCCACAACTTTGATTAACTCAATTTGCTTATGTGCAATTCAAAATCATGAGGCATGCAAACACGAATACCCTCTGTCTGCTGAGGAAACCTATTAACAAAAAGACAAAATTACTTTGTAATTACCTGCAAGTAAATCTGTGCCCTCTTTGTGTCTTTTATGCACAGATAATGGTTATTACTTACCTTATTACAAGAGAGAGAGAAATAAACGGAGCAACCAGATCACTGTTAGATTTTTTGATGATACAAATTACAAGAATATTCGCAAAAAAGATCCCGTTCTTCTGCTTCACTGGTGGAAAGAAATTGTTGGCACCATTCTCTTCTGCATTGTGGCCACAACTTTTATCGTACGCAAACTTTTTCATCCTCATCCTTACAGCAGAGTAAGTATTTTTTGCTGAATCCTAAACACAGAAGGTGTTATTCTAGCCTTTTATTTCAGTTTTGAGTCTGCAATGAGTAGTATTAATAAGTTAATAACTAATGAGATAACAAAATCAAAAGTCTCTGCTATGAAGATAGGCTGAGAGTTGGGGCTGTTCAGCCTGGAGAAGAAAAGACTCCAGGGAGACCTTAGAGCACCTTCAGTGCCTGAAGGGGCTACAGGAAAGATGAGGAGGGGCTTTTGATCAGAGAAATAGTGATAGGACAAGGGGTAATGGTTTTAAACTGAGAGAGGGGAGATTTAGGTTAGATATTAGGAAGAAATTCTTCACTACAAGGGTGGTGAGGAACTGGAATGGGTTGCCCAGGGAGGTTGTTGATGCCCCATCCCTGGAGGTTTTTAAGGCCAGGTTGGATGAGGTTTTGTGTAGCCTGGTCTAGTGATAGGGTTTCCTGCTCATGGCAGGGGGGTTGGAACTTGATGAGCTTTATGGTCCCTTCCAACTTTAACCATTCCGTTATTCTGTGATTGTTTAATCTGTCTGAAGGCTGCCAGCTGCCATGTACAGTTTGCTTAACTGCTTCAGCAAGCAGATTACACTGCTTCAAGCATATCTAACATCTTTGGAGATACTTACACTGAAATGATTTAATGCCATATCTAGGGGTACAAAGTCTGAAGTACTTAAGGAGCTGAATTTTGTCTGTTCTTGTTTTGGTAATCCTTGTTAGCTGCGGAAGGAATCTGAAACACAGTGTCAGACTGATAGTAAATACGAGCCCACTTGTGGGGATGTTAAAGACAGCAGCTGGAGTGATGTCAAGAACTCTGGATACGTGTCAAGGTGAGCTCAGTTTAACACAACATGTACAGAGTTTTGAACCAGTACAGGGTTTTGAACCAACCTCCAGTTCTATCTGCAGGAAAGAGGTGTTCTCTTGTTCTTACACACCCTGGTCTTAGTCCTCTGACATGGTGAAATAATTGGTAACTGACACAGAACCCTATCACCCCATTACTGATAGAAGATTGCAGTTATGATTAGTCTAAGCAATCCTGGAGAGTCTACAGGATACCTGTGACCAGGGATGATGCTGTCACACTTCCTGCTGATATGTGAAATGAAAGATTGATTCTTGAAGGTCTAATCAGTGTTTACTCCCTGTTTCTGTGTTTATGGTTTAAAGCAGAGAAAGGCAATTGCAGATGGAGACAGATTCTGCAGAATAAGCAGACTATATTTGGAACAAACCTTTTTTCCTTTTATTAAGGCTTTGCTTGAGGCAGAAGGGTGTATAGGGGCATGTCGTGATAATCTGGAGAAAATGCAACTGTTCCCTGTACATTTGTAATTCACTGAAAGTAAGAGCTGTAATATTTAAAATTTAGAATAATAAGAAAGGTAGAGAGATTTAGGAACAGTGATGTTTTTGAGGGATGCTCAGAAGGATTAGTTACAGAAATAATCTTCTGGGGTGGGGCTAAAGACAAATAATAATTTAGAAAATATTTAGCTGTCACCACGTGGTTCGGGTTTAGAAACTTAGGCTACATACTCATGGTCTGCGATCCAGCAAGCATGGAGCCTGGTATTCTGAAAAACCTCTTTGGTTTGTCACATGTGTGCATAAGGGATATTGCTGGCTTATGGCAGAGACTGAATAAATGCATCATCACCAACAGCCTGTTTCATAAATAGGTAACCATCTGATTGCCTCAGTGGGTGAGCAGGGAAAAAAGATAAGATATGCTTCAAGTCATCCAGCATATTTTGCCTGTACAGAAATATTCCACTCTTAGTCATAAGTTGCTTTAATTTTCTATCTGTACTGATGTGTTTTTCTCCTTTTTCCTCCCTCCATTCTCTGTCCCTTCCTCACACCCTTCTCCCAGATATCTGACAGATTTTGAACCTATTCAGTGCCTGGGTCGTGGAGGCTTTGGAGTAGTTTTTGAAGCCAGAAATAAAGTGGATGATTGCAACTATGCTATCAAAAGGATCCGTTTACCTAACAGGTAATGAATGAGTTTGTTGGGATGCAGAGCAAGTAATGAATGAGTGGTGGGATCCTGTCCTGCACTGAACCATCTGTTCCTGGACTGATTGCCCAGATACGACATTAGGATGAATGACACACTTTTTAATGGGGGGCTGACTCAAGTTTTGGCATCAAGATTTTGGCATGTGTAATCACAGCAGATGGGTGACCTGCTTGGCTAAAATAGTTGCATAGCAGGACCCTCATGAGGATGCTGAGGCTACTTGGGAACTCCTTTGATTTCCTTTGATGAATAGAGGCTTTGATAACAGGACCAGTTATTTGTAGCGCTGTTAATGTGCTTCTCTCCTTCCTCTCCTTACCTTTCCTACTCCCTCTTCTCTTTCTTTTCTCTCTCCCTCATCAGCTTTTCTGACTCCATTTGTCCATCTGTTTCATTTTCTGGTCCCACAACCCCTACCTTTTCTTTCAGTCATAGGTGGTCAAGCCATGCTGCTGAATTACCCTACACAGAGCTTGCAGCAGTTCCTTTTAGTGGGAGATGGGAGACACTGCTTCTGGAAATCAAGTTAGAACAGCAACAGGCAGGCCAGTAGAGGGAGGGGGTAAAGCAATGAAACCTAGAATTACAATTTTTTTTTTAATGTGTTAAATAAGTGTGACTATTTAAGATTAAAGGTGTTGGTCAGAAATTTAAGGCAGCCTAAATTATTTTTTTCCTAAGCATATTCAGACCCATTAAGTAAAACCACCTGAGTTTATTTGATCGATTTGTGGTCTTAAGAAGGGAGATAATTTACTTCCATAATATAGCAGGCTACCTGCTTTCCTGTCCATAGAATGGACATGGTCTTTATGCAGTCTCCCTGTGTTATGCCGATTAAAAAAGATACTAAGATATTACTGTCTGTCTTGTTTTGTGTCAGTGTCTTCTATATCCCTGTAGAATATTGCTGGATAAAGGTCTTTTCTTCTATCCTTGTAAACAGTGGAGAGCAAGATGAGCCTTTTCTACTCAGTTGTGCTGTAGTTATTTGAAAAGGGATGACTAAATACTTAGCCATATGACTACATACTGCTCCCCCACACTTCTAACCTAAAGGAGATACCCTGGGGAATTTTAAGACATATCTGTCTTGTGGTGTGAAGAGCAATACTACTGGCCTGGTTTATACTGGGGCTAGCTTTGATTAAATCCCTTTGCAGAAATGTTGGTACTACTCTGTTGCTTTGTGTGACCATGGCTCTGTCATTCTCCTCACCTCAAACCCTAGGGAGCTGGCTCGTGAGAAGGTGATGAGGGAAGTCAAGGCTTTGGCCAAACTCGAGCACCCGGGAATTGTGCGGTATTTCAACGCCTGGCTGGAAGCTCCACCCGAGAGGTGGCAGGAGAAGATGGATGAGCAGTGGTTAAAAGATGAAAGGTAACTTGTGGGGTTTTTTTGACAATCCAGTAGGAGGTGGTACATCAACAGAACTGGAGAACTGGTATATGATCCAGGAAGGTGTAGAGATACTATGTAGGAAAGAGACGGTTATTAACTTACCCTGTTGACTTTTCAGTTGAACAAGGTACAGATGTAACACACTTGTGCATGCAGTCTTTTGATTTTTGGGTCCACTGTTGTGTTGAGGTCCTTCTTTCAGCTTAGGAAACAACTTTTAGTTTTTAAGTAAGTTCTGCAATTGAATCTTTGGATGGTTGGAAGATGGAAACATGGCTACTGTAATTCAGTTTTAAACTTTGGTGTCTCCATTCTCTTTATCTATTTCCACTGCTTTCTTCCTGTTTGTTGTCTTGGTTTAGATGGATCTGATTCAGTGCTCCAGTGCTTCAATGAATTTATTTCAGCAGAAATAAGTGAGGGATAATCAGAGTGATGATTTATAAAGCTTGGTAGGAGTAGGTTAAAAATGGAAAAATTAGATAAAGGAGTTAGAGGATGTTAAGAGAGGGGAAAAAGTGGGTGTATGTTAGCTTTTAAAGAATGAGGCCTAATGCAAGATATTTAGTGGTCTCATAATAACATCTTAACATGCTTAACAATTTTTAGAATGTAGCGACCTTTATATTTCAGGCAGCAAATTAACATTTCACAGCTGTAATGCTTCCAAGGCACTTTAAATAGTCATTGCAATGCATGTTCTAAAAGACTGAAATTTTTTCAAGCTGAAGATCAGCCTGATTGCACATTGGGAATCTAGGCAGTAGAGCTTGCTAAATTTTCCTTTATCAACACTCTTGTCTCAGTGAGAACACGTTATCCACAGGAAGAACAGATGCTAAATCCTTGTTATTGGTGCTTCCCACACCTGGGTAGTCATTTACTGTTGTGGTATGACACTGTTCTCAGAGGTAGCAGTTGTTAAAACCTGGGCTTCTGAAGATGCACTTCTAGTGGAATGAAGTTCTGTGGGGTTGATCTCTTTCAATTTTCTTTTTCCAGCATTGACTGGCCACTCAGTTCTCCCAGTCCAATGGATGTTCCCTCCTTTAAGATCAGAACAGAACCATTTTGTACAAAGGAGCACATTGAAGTTATTGCCACCTCATCGGAGATGGTCAGGTCTGTGGGAATACCCTGTAGTCAGTTTGATTCATCTGGAAGCCAGTTTGCTCCTCTGGAGTTTTCTGCCACAGACAACAGGGACTTACACCAGTCAGAAGATCTGCTGTTAAACCATCAGGACAGTGTCCTTACAGGCTGTGACATGGAAGACAGCACTGACAACAATAACAAGCTGGGTCACTCCTTGGAAATTTGTTCTTCAGCTGCTCCTGTTGTACACCTGAGGGAAGGGACTTCTTCTTCTATTGTGTTTGAGGATTCTGGTTGTGGAAATGCTTCTAGTAGAGAAGATAAAGTTGATGTTTCACATGATGAGAGTCTTTCTGAGGATAAGGCAAAAAGTACAAATGAATCTGATAAGAAATCTGCTTCAGGAAGTCCCCTCTCTGTTTCTCCACCAAGGCCAACAAGTTTAAGCCTGGACCTTTCTAAAAATATTGCAGAAAAAGTCAAGCCCACCTCTCCAAAGGTTTATCTTTACATTCAGATGCAGCTCTGCCGGAAAGAGAACCTTAAAGACTGGATGAGCAGAAGATGCACGATAGAGGAGAGAGAAAGGACAGAGTGTCTGCAGATATTTCTGCAGATAGCTGAAGCAGTTGACTTTCTGCATAGCAAAGGATTAATGCACAGGGATCTCAAGGTTTGTATTCATAGGTTACTTCAAACAAAGTGTTGGGGCTTATTTATAGCCATGATCTCACTGGATGCCTGGACTTTCCAAATTCTGGTTGTAACTGGTTATCTCTCCAGACTGTCCTATAGGCAGATGTTTTCTGGTTTAGTATTGTGAATTACCTGTGCCCAAAGTATCACACCAAAGTCTATGGTGCTTTAAGATTCCTGAAACACAAGGACTGGCTAAGTGTCATAGCAAGGTAGCTGTCCCTCAACTGCTTTACAAGCTTGAGCATCAGCAGTTCTGAATTTGACTGCTCTTAACACAGTACAGTTCCCAGTTCTGCTTTAAACTTCTTAAACTGCTTCATGACAGATCATGACTCTGGATACAGGTAAATCTTTTATGTATGTAGGAGTGATATGGCACTGGAGACAAACCTATAAAATAGTTGACTCTTATCAGTGACTTCAGCATGGGTGTTGCAAAAGCTGAGTTAACATCTGTGCAATAATCTGGAGGTGCAGTGCTCCAGGAAATAAACATTAATCATCCATTATTGCAATTAAAGTCTTTATTACAGCAAGACTTCTTGTACCTGGCACAGAGTAATTGCATTTGTTTTATAGCATTTGTAATTCAGGTTCTTTATTAAGGTTGTTAATTTCTGAGCTGTGTGACAAAAACAAAGCTATTTTGGATCCCGTTCTGCCGTTTTAAATGAAGCAGATAAGTGGCAGTTTATTCTTTGATTTAGTGATCTTAAAAGTCTTTTCCAACCTACATGATTCCGTTATTCTAATTCTGGTATTTTCCTTCTTCTTTACTAGTAATACTGCCTAAGAGCTGTGGTGTTACTCCTGGTTAGAGGAAATAAAAATTAAGTATTACTGCTCTAGGATTGAAGTGTAAACTGTCCTGGAGTTGAATCCTGAGTCAATGCCAACTATCACAATGCAGCTTTCTGAATGTCTAATAATAATTTTACTGTCTGATAACATCCAAACGGTTAACTGGGAAAGGTGGATTTTACCCCTGGCATTTAATGTAACTGAAGTCAGGAGTAACTTTTTGTGCCTTTTTTTTTCCATTTTGCTTCTGATCCAATGTTAGTGCCTAATCTTGCTGGAACTTTTAGCACTGAAAGTGTCTGTGTGTGTTACCAAATTCCATAATTCAGTTAAAGAGCCCAGCTGAAATTAGTCTTACCAGCACAAGCTGTGAGAAGGGATTGCTTTTGCCAAACAGTGGAGAGGCAGTTACTGTTTCTCTTTGCTTTTTTGAGGAAGCTTTAAGCTTACCTCAGTGGAGTAAATACTGAAATGATTGTAACAGTCGTTGTAGCTTCTCAGATGGTAATACTTTGATATCAGTAGAAACAAAGATAAAAATACCAGCTGATCTTAGGCAGTAAAAGGGGATTCAAATTCAGTAACATTGAAAAGCTGTTGCAAAGTTAGAAAAACTCACAAACCTGTCCAAGTATTTTCTTTCCTCACAACCATTAAGCAATTACCTTGAAGCATTTATCTGATAAATCTTTAATGCTTGAGAAACTGACCAGAAAAGTAATTAAATCCCTATCTAATACATTGCTAGACATGTTAATTAATAACCTTTCTTAGCAATACTGTCACTCTGCAGTCTTTACTGGGATCACTGTTCAGTAAAGCTTATGTTAGCTTCACTTAAAGCTGCAGTAGTCTTAATCAGCAGTTGTGTACCATTTTGTTGGAATATCTTAAAAGTTCAATATTGGCAGCAATTTGAACAAGAGATTTTATTTTGTTTACTTGATATAAACAACTTAGGCCCTCCCTGAACAAACATGTTCCTGCTTCAGAAAACATCCCATCTGAGTATAGATGTTATTCTGGGATCCTGGAAATGTATTTGTCTGTTACTGCAGAATCACAGAATGCTTGGAGTTGGAAGGCACCTTGAAGATCATCAAGTTCCAACTCCCCTGCATGGGCAGAGACACTTCCCACTAGAGCAGTGTGTTAATTTGGCCAAAATAGCAACCATTAAATATATGTATATATTTTAATATAGTTTTCAGAAACTCCGAGGAACCTACCTCACCTAATTCTGTAATTTGCCCAAGAGATTGTTTGTGCAACCCCAAAGTTCATGCCAGCACTAATAAGCAAATGACCTCCAGGTCGTTATTTGCAAATAACCTGCACTGCTACTTTGTCTTTGCCAGAAGCAGAGCTAGCTGATAGCAGAGGCCAGTTCTTACTCTCACTGGCACTGCCAAAAACTCATTCAGTTATGTGAAAATTAATATCAAAAAGACCTTTTAAATTTTTAAACTAACAGATGTGTTAAAGGCTCCTACTAATCAGAGATACTGTAATGACAAGATGGCAGGAATTTAGGTAAGCAAGTGCATAGGTCACAGTTCAAATTCTTTTGAAGAAAATATAGAAACAGGAGTTTCTGTCAGGTGCATTTACTGTTATTCCCAGGGTAAGGCATCAGTTATGCTTGACAGCTCAAGACAAGTAATGAATTTCAAAGAATTGCAAGAACAGTGTTAAATACATTTTGCAGCATTAATTGAATTAAATAGTAGCCTTCCAGATGTCTGAGCAGCTTATTCATATCTGTGGAAAAAACCCTGGAATTCTTACTCTGAAGAATCTGGAGTGAAATTTCTTTGTAAAAGTGGCAAGATAACTAAACTAAAGAGTGGTTTTATTCTTCTAATTTAAATCAAAATTGTGTGCATCTGCCTTAAGATTTCCTCTTTCTGAATGTGGCCTTGATGGCTTATTTTTGCTGGCAGTTTGCAATAGCAGAGAGTCCATTCTCCTTAATTTGTAGAAATGATATGCCAGCCACTCAGAATCTGTTTTCAGCCAGAGAAGTACCCAACATAAAACTTTGTGTTAAGAGTTCTTGTCCATGAAGCAAGACAGATGTTGTTTATTTCTTGTGTGTTTGTTGGAGGAGAAGGGAAGGGAGATCAAGACACAAATCCCTAATGGAGGCTTTTGTGCCTTGAGCATTAAAATTCTGATAGAAAGGTTTTTGACAATGTGGGTGTGGAATCAAGAGGGTGGGTGCTGTATAAATGCTTCAGAGAGAGCCTGGAGGTGCTGTAGGTGCACAGGGTAGTTTTTGTGCACTAAATGAGCTGTGACTCTGAAGGGCATGACATTCGTTACAGGAAAATGCAGTGGGAGATAAGGCCTGGCTCAGAAGGCAGTTTTAGAGGCAGGATGTGGGCACGGTAGAACTAACAAGTTCTATCTATTTCTGTAGCACTTATCTCAGAGTTGTCTGTTGCTTAACAAAAACAAGAAGTCCTTTTTTCCATCCTGCTTCTTTCTAGCACAGAGTGGGTTTGTCTTTAAACAAGGAAGTGAGGTGGACTTTGAAATAGGTCAGCTTTGTAGTCCTTTAATCTTGGGGAAAAAACGTTCTCTGTACCTGCCTCCTCATGTTCCAGGGATTGTGTCAACAAAGCATAGAACATGTTCTAGCCTTGAAGGTCTGTCCAGGAGCTCTGAGAAGAGCTTGCCCAGCACCACCTGGCTCTTTACCACAGCTCAGCTCTTTTCCCTGTGAA